TCAATGGCGCAAGTGGTTAGCGCGTTCGGCCTGCGATCGTGGAAGTTTAACAGTGATCGGTCATTGGATGGGTGACCAAAAAGTTATAATCTCGAGTTCTCCGTGCTTCGGATGGCCGTCAAGCCGTTGGTCCCGGCTTCATCTGCAGTCATAAGCTCCCAAGTTTTTTTTTATAACTTTTTAAGTCCATCTGACATAAAAGTGATTTTTAGCTTTCGGCAGTCATTAATAATTGTGTGTGTTTCAATTCAACATAACTGTTTAAAGTGTGTGAAAATCATTATTTTGTACACAAACCAAAGACCACACCGTGAGAAATATTAATTCACTTAGGTACTTACAACAAGAAATGATTATTTAATAGCGTCAAATAAACCAGTTTAAATTTTAAACTAAAGAAGGTGGGTACCTAACTAGTTCCAGAACAGTTAAGTTTAATAATCAGGAAGAAAATATAAAAGTACTGTAAATACACGTTACGAAAATACAGTTGTTCAATCGGAATCTTTTTTCAATTCTGATAAGGGGGCGTCCATAAATTACGTGAGATGTTTAAGGGGAGGAGGGGGTCGAGTCAAATCTCATCTAATCTTACGTTGGAGAGAGGGGGGGTCTCGGCAAATATCACGCAATTTTTTTTCACAGTAGTATCTATTAAGTATTCTATTGTTAAATTTTTATTACACTTATAACTCTCAGTAATATTGATTACTAGTCTTACCTAGTCGTAAATAAAAGCACGAAGCATTTTTTTTCTTTTTACAATAACAATCCAACGCGTTTACGAAAGAAACCCACATTTTGAAAAATCTCACGTAAGATTGGGGGATGGGGGAGAGGGTTGAATAAAATTTCACGACATCTCACCAGGGGGGGAGGGAGGGACAGAAAATCCAAAAAAACACCTCACGTAATTTATGGACGCCCCCTAACATAACTACTATCGGTAAAGTGTCTACTTTACGCAGTTCCACTTATGATTTACGATTTTTATTCCATTTTTTTTTTTGGGAAAAACCATTTAATTGAAGCATTTCACTAAAAAACATTAGATTTTTTTTTAGTATTTTTTTCTACTTCTTCGTGTTAGAATATTCAATAGTAACGTGCCGGTACAAGGCAGTAGGCCACAGTATTCGTCCCCGGGTTAATCTTTATCCAAACAAATAACTTCCTATTCAAGACTATACATATCAGGCTGGCACCTCATATAGACTTGAATAAAATTCGTTAGTGTCGCTAAAACTCGAGAACGGCTGAATGGATTTATCTTATCTTGGTCTTAAAATGTTCGTGGAGGTCTAGGGAAGGTTTAAGAGGTGACATGGAGAGTCATCAGGATCCCACGAAACCCGTTCCGGCAGGCGAGGGAGCACTGATGGGTTTTTAGTCGGTAGGGCCCCCCCTTCATCCCGAACAGCCGCTGAGCCAAGTTGGCTCAGCGGGTGGGCGGGATTTGGAGGGAGGAGGAGTCCCACATAACCCCGTCTCTCACCCAGGGGCGGGGACACGCATTTTCCCATTAAAAAAAAAAGGTTTAAAAGGTGAGATAAATTCGAATAATTTCGTGGAAGATAGTAAAAATACAATTTCAATTGTCCATATAAATCAAATTATTGTAAGCAGTACGAAGTACGCTGGGTCACCTAGTGAGTGATAAAATTAATGGTGTAACGTACCTCAGGGACATCCTTTCTTTTGGCAATCAAAGGTTCCATTTACAGATCTTATCATCCATGTAGTCATCAATTTCAGCATACTACCATTATTTATACATACATTTTATTATTCATTCCTGAAAACGCACAATTTAAATGAATTACCTCATCACATACTAATCACCATTTTGTAAATACGTTTCAGAATCCCAACTACTAAAATCGCTGTTCCAGACTCCTAGACGCTTACCGGTATTTCTCCATATCCTTATATTTATAATTACTGTCATGATTATTTAATTATTCAACTCTGCTTTTATTTATTTTGTTAATGTTTGTTTACATAGTCGGTTGACAGCCATGTTTTTCGTTATTGCCATGGCTACCCATGACACGGATACTCTCTCTAACTGCCTCTATCATCTATGCCTTACCAACCTCCATAGAATACCTACTTTCATTCCTTTTAGTTCAATTCGAATCTTCTCCTTTAAATGGTTCCTGACCTATAAAAAAAGTTTTTCATAACGTAAGACTATAATTTCTCTTTTTAAAATCTTGGACCTTATAAGAATCTATGTTTTGTTAAGTTCATTTTGGTATATAAATGGTTACATAATGAATAAACTTGTTTCAATTATTTTATATTAAACATGTGACTGGAACTCGACTCGCAATTTATTTATCCCTTTCGGGGTTGGCAGAGCATGAAAGGTGCGGTTTGACAGTAAAAAAAACTATAGGGTCGCGGATGGAAATTAGAGAAAAACTACGAAACGAAAAATCCCATAAGCTACTAAACGGGATTCGAGCTCGATTTCCACCTTCTTCAACATTTTGAAATAGCAATATATTATTGGAAAATATATAGTAGGTATCGTGTTTATTCTCTGGCACATATCCGCATGTTTTTAAAAACTTGCGTGTAAATTATTATCTACCGAATGATGATAAACAGCATGAAAATCCGGTCAGTTGCATTAGAGATTATCGCTCGCACATTTTGTTTTTTAATATGTGAAGAATACTTTTATACATATAAAAGCATTAACAGATATGTATTAAAGTATTAATAAATGCAAATTTCAAACCCGATGCAAAGTAGTTTTATTTAATGAGTGGTGTTCGTTCAAAACATAAGAAATAAATATACGTAAAGGATAGTAAAAATGTAAACAATGCCACATAGTTAATGCAAGATCAGACAATAGATAAGAGGAATTATAGATCTGCCCCCAATGTGCATGTCGTAAACAAATCATATAGGTATACAGTATCCTAAGCAAAGTAAGAACATCTGTCACGACCATAGCCAAAGGCAAAGTATTATGTCCGTGGCAGAACCGAAGTGGGTGCGCAGACGCAGGTCGCGCCCTGCGCTGCCCCGAGCGCCGCGCACACGAATCCATCCACACGATCTAACTCTGATAACTTCCTAGTCTCCTCAATGATAATTGTCACGATTATTTGCTTATTTTACCGGCAAACATTGTCATTCATGGAATTTATCCTTACGAATACTGGCTTTGTGCTATCAGGGGCGCTAATTCCTCAGTAAGCCCCCCTGCTAGCAGTAACTTTATCGTCGTAATCGTTTCGCTGCTGTTCTGAATTCTCAAACTTTTTTACAATATGCTTTGATTGATATCATCCAACCTATATTTTTTTTATCAACCATCACCATTAATCCGTTTCTTTACAGTAGGTACCATATTTTCACTTAGTATTATTTTTTTAATTCCTATTAAATGAACGACTTGCAGATATGTGTTTATAACAAGTATTTCTTCATCCGGCGGTTACTATTAAAAAAAACAAGCGAGCCTTACAGTAGTCGCGTATGATGTGTAGTAACATTTGAAATCTCCCCTTAAATTAATGAAAAAAGAAATAAAACCTACTACAAAAGGAATAAGCCATTTGAACATTATGTTCTAAAATCAAATCAAATAGTGCGCTTTCGCGACTTCCTGTTACACACTTCCGTCCCATTTCACGAAATCACTCCCACAAATTGCAGGAAAGCGAGAGGAAAGATGTTACACATCAATAATAACTATGAACGCGTTTGTTCCTCACGCTTCATTTATTACTGTCAAGAGTAAAGTCCATTATCACGTTAATAATCGAGTCGAGAGGTTGCAATAATAGCACGGCATCGGCACGCCAATAAGCATCATTTTCATACTGATGCCAATACAACACGCGAGTGACGTGCATTGTTTCGATTGTTCGTAAATAGACATACAGTGCAGCGGGGACATTGATGCCACAGGAAGTCCTTGAGTTCAATCTTCTTTGCCTTCATGCACCATAATATCATTATAATAACTTTGAAATTATATTATTTGCTTTTTAAATCAAAATTTCTATACATTATGTTATCCCTTTATATAGTACATGCAATCAGTACTAAACACATTCGAAGTGCGAGTTCAGAAAGCAAATAGATCAAAAGTTGGTTACAAACCACCTGCCACCCAACTGCTTGACTTTGCTTCGATAGAAACATGACCATTAGCATCCACTAATCTGCATTGATGGGCTACAGGCTTATCAAATTGACACATTGCAGTGTCTGCAGTAGGAATAACAATAGAATGATGACAGTGGACCTGACATTTAGCTAGGTATTGAATAACATATACAACACATAAATGTATTCCGTGGATAGACTATGTAATTCTATTACAAACTGCGTTAAGCTAAATCTCAATATACTTAGCGTGAGTTGCACCATTTGACGAGTCAAATCAAAGTCAAGTCAAAATGACGTCATAATTTGACAGTGACAATAACTGTCCAAGCGCGGCCTGTTAAAGAACAATGGTCATATTTCTATATGAGCTGGACTTGACTTTTATTTTTGATGTCCCTTAATAAACTATAGTGAGAATGGTTTGTTTTTATGTTGTAAATACTATCCCGTTTGAAAATCTTATATAAATAGCCACGATTTTTTAAAATATCGCCTCTAATACTTTTGAGGTTAGAATCAACAAATACGTTTTACCCGACTGCGGCGAAGCCCAAAATGTAGTAGCGAAAAGCGAAGAGGGTAATTGGCGATCTCATAGCTATTTTATTCGATGTCTCATTGAAAAAAAATAGGACTGAACTAAAAAGTGGTTTTTAGTTAAGTCCTATTTTGGGGCATTTTTCTGGTTGTGCCGGCTAAAGAGTAAGTCGTTAGACGAGTCTAGATACCTGCTATCTTTCACTCACTGACTAATCGAGTCCAAGTAATAATGGTACCCATCATAAGGTAATAATGGTGAGTATGGGGATAAATGAAAGATAAGTCTTGACAAAAATATTATTTAGTTATCAGTCCGTAAATCAATGCCAAGGTCAAAAGAACAGAAGGTAATCCAAAATAGTACAATCACAATAATTCACAACAAACAATCTTAGCGAAAGCGTTAGCACAGAACGATCACTGTCACTGTGTGTCAGTAAATCGATGGCGCCGATCGATGACATATAACGTTCCGTTATACGCATAAACCGAGCAATTAAACAAAAAGCTTATACTCAATTTGTACTTACTTAATTACTATTATGATAAAAGTTCTTTAAATACCTAATAACACTAGTTGATCAGATGCCTAACTATTAATTGAATTACGGTCAACAAGTATTTAGAAAAAGAAATAATTTATACATAGTCTATGAATATTAAATCATTTCATGTGCGAAATTAATCGTCAATCGGTGCGTTCTGAACATGTTATTCCAAATAATTTCAAATAAATAACCAAAACACAAAAAAGGTATATTTTTTTTAATGTGGGAGAATATGGATATTTTACTTATATTTTCGAAAACCTTTAAAAATAAGGGATTTTTTGATATTATATGGCATATTGGGACGTCATCGTTTCCTCATCAGGTACGATCCTTCATAGTAAAATTTAACTTTAACTGGCTGTGGACAACTCACATAATGTTCATAAAAATTCCTTGTATAGGTACGGATAATAGCAATAGCAAGAAATAGTTATCTATCACACAACACTCATTTACAATTTTTAGTTGGAGTTTTATGTAGATGGTTATTATTAGGTACACAATTAATTTAACTTATATTCAATGTTTTTGTCTACAGAATGCGGACGAGACGAGTGAATTTTCTCCTGTAGTAAATGCAACGTGCAAATCGGGCATAATGTCAATAAAAATCACCTTCAACCAGCCCTTCAATGGAGTGGCACACGCTAAAGAATTCAGGTAATTGAAAATATACATAACTACTTATTTACACCAAAATCTAGGTTCTTACGTCCGAATCTTAGCCAAAAAATAACATAAACATAAGTTGCGTATTATCTTTCTGTGGTGTCAACAGAATTAAATCAAGGTGGTAGACTTAGGTTGGCCTAAGTATTATTATTTCTTTATTTTCATAAATTAATACTGGCGTTAAGTGTAAGCGTAGTTTAATTGTGTATCGCTGCAGTAATCCTTACCTCCTTATTTTTTCCAGGGCTTCACGGTTTAAGAATTCAGAAACTCTTAAGCCCTGAAGCTCTGGAACCTTACTCACCAACAGAAACACAACACCACTAAAAAGTAGTGTATTTCACTGTGGTCTTCTGTAAACTGAAGTTTTACTACTGACGTAACCATGTTGTTAGAGCGACAAATTGCTAGGAGTTTATATTTGCGTGTAATCTCATTGTTGTTATTCGTATGGTTTGTGGTTGTCAGAATTATTTGAATATACTGACTGACATGCACTTCTAGTTTTGGTTGTTACTTGCTTAGATACGTTGTTTGTACTCATGTGTTCTATTTTGTTTGTAAATATATATTAAGTCAATATTAGCTGGCATTCTTTATTTATTATATATGATCGAGGTTATCTAGTCCTCGATCAGGTTATGGGCCGCATATGATAAATATAAGAAGACTTAAAATATGGCTACACAAGGAAATAGTATGAAGGTAAATTCGAGCAGCGATGGATCGGAGAGATCTCAGCCTTCACACGACACAGGTATGAGCATAGAGAAACTCGATGGAAATTCGAATTATAGTACTTGGAAATTTTTGGTAGAATTATATCTAATTCACGATGATTTATGGGAGTACACACAAACAACGCCAGATAAAACTGATGTAGTAGGCTGTAGGAAAGACCAAAAAGCGAGAGCAAAAATATGCTTGATGGTAAAGCCCCACTGTCTGATTCACGTTCGAAACGCTAAGACAGCTAAAGAAGCGTGGGACGCTTTGAGATCGGCTTTTGAAGATAAGGGTCTTAACAACCGTTGCAGACTTTTGACCAAGTTAGTTAGCCTAAAACTTGAACAATTTACATCAGTTAGGAGTTATGTAACAGAAATAATGTTAGTAGCGCAGCAATTACGGGACATCGGTAAAGAAGTTGACGATGAGATGCTAGCTGCTCTCATGTTACAAGGTTTGACCGAAATTTTTCAACCAATGAGGCTTGCGATTGAAAACTCAGGAGTAGAGTTGACCACAGATTACATAAAAACCAAATTACTTCAAATGGAAGATTCGTATAACACTAGTAGTTCAAGCAGTAATGATATAGCATTGCGTGTTGATACACATAACAAGACTAGGATATTTCCATACAAGAAGTCACAGAAGATAAAATGCTTTATTTGTAATGGACCACATAAAGCGAGAGATTGTCCAGAGAACTCAAAAAATAAGAAGGCTTCGTTAGCATTGGGACTTGCAACTTCAGGAAAACCAGACGAGTGGATTTTAGATTCTGGGGCATCAAGCCATATGACTAACAGCAAAGAGTATTTAATGGACGTTAGAATGTATGACAAAAAAGTGGAAATCGGATGTGCGAATGGTAGTAAAGTATATGGTATTGGAGAAGGTTCTGTGGTATGTAAGGAGAATGTTGCAGGCGTAAGTGAAGTGATGTATGTACCACACTTAGCAACTAACTTGTTGAGCGTGAGTGCTATTGTAAAGAAGAATGTAGTTGTTGTATTTTCAGCGAAAGGCTATGAACTGTTGAAAGCGGATGGATGTAAGGTTACTGGTGATGTCTTATATACAGGTGTGGAGGATAATGGTGTTTATAAACTTAAGCTCTGTTCACAGGAGAAAGCACTAGCCTCGACTGTCAGTACCATAGACATAGAGTTGTGGCATAGACGTATGGGACATCTTGGTGTACGGAACCTTAAGCTGCTGAGAGACAAATTGGCTACAGGGGTAAGTTTTACTAATAATCCAGTTAACTTACAGTGTAGAGCTTGTTTGATGGGAAAGCAGACCAAACAACCGTTTAAAAAGGGTTTAGCAAACAGAGCTGATGATATTTTAGGTTTGGTTCATACTGATGTATGTGGACCAATGAGTAAAGACTCAATGTCGGGCTGTAAATATTTTCTAACGTTTATTGATGATTTTACAAGAAAAACTTTTGTATATTTTATCAAAAACAAAAGTGAAGTCTTTCAAAAATTTTTAGATTTCAAGACATTTGCTGAGAACCAGTCTGGAAAGAAATTAAAAATTCTTCGATCGGATAATGGCAAGGAGTATGTCAATGAGCAGATGAAGAAATTTTTGAAGCAGTGTGGTATACAACAGCAATTAACGGTTGAGTATACACCCGAGCAGAATGGAGTTGCAGAACGTGCAAACCGCACAATAACAGAAAAAGCTAGAAGTATGCTTCAGGAAGCAGAGCTAGATGAAAAGTTCTGGGCAGAGGCGGTGAACTACGCTGTGTATTTAAAGAATAGATCACCGACCATTGCAGTTAAAGGTAAAACGCCAGAGGAAGCGTGGACTGGAAGGAAGCAAGACTTAAGCATGCTACGAATTTTCGGATGCAAAGCGTTTATTCACGTACCAAAAGTAAAACGGACGAAATGGGACGCTAAATCTAAAGAAATGATTCATGTAGGCATCTGTGAAGAATCGAAAGGCTACCGCTTAATAGACCCAATAACTAATCATTTAAGCAAGGCCAGAGATGTTGTGTTTTTCGAGAACGAGAATATAAACTGTAAGCAAACAGTTGAAAGAGTTGAGAAGTCAGCACCGCTTAGTTTTAAGGATAACGTCACAGAATATGAAGATCACATAGAAGTTCAAGATTTTCAAAGAGATCAAATTGAATCGGAAAATGAACCTGTAAATATTGTAAGTAGTAATGATGATGATATTCTGCATGAGAATTTAGAAACAGAAACAAATGAAGAGAGTTCTGTTACAAGAAGATATCCTTTAAGAGATAGAAAGAAGAAAGCGATACCTGACTGCATTACATATCACACAATAGCTGATTGTGATGATCCGCAGAGTGTGGATGAGGCATTGTCTAGAAGAGACAAACACTTATGGAAAGCTGCGATCGACGAGGAGCTTAATGCACTCAAGAAAAATAAAACATGGAAATTGACGTTACCTCCAGAATCTTGCAACGTCGTTGATTCTAAATGGATATTTAAAATCAAAGAAGAGGCAGGGGGAAATAAGAGATACAAAGCACGCCTAGTTGCAAGAGGTTTCAGCCAGAGGCATGGAATAGATTATTTTGAGACATTTTCTCCAGTTATTAGACATAGCTCTTTGAGGACATTGATTGCATTGGCAGCTCATATGAATCTTAATATAGACCACATGGACGTGAAAACCGCATTCTTGAATGGTAACTTGGACGAGGTGGTTTATATGAAGCAACCAGAGGGTTTCGTTGAAAAGGGAAAGGAGAATTATGTGTGCCAGTTGCAAAGATCATTGTACGGACTTAAACAAGCTCCCAGAGCATGGAATAAAAAACTTCATTTGGAATTGCTGAAACTTAAATTCAAGAGGTCTGAGTATGAACCATGCGTTTATATTAGATCTACAGGAGATAAAGTAATTATTCTTGCCATATATGTAGATGACATTTTATTGTTCTGGAATAATGTTGAGGAATTAAGGAAGGTTAAAACCGATCTCACAAACAAATTTGAGATGAAGGACCTTGGCACAGCGAAGTTGATGTTGGGAATACGAATAGCACAAGATAGTGAAGGGATCAAACTGGATCAGAAGGGATACATAGAGAAGGTTATTCGTACATTTGGAATGGAGAACTGTAAACCAGTTGCTACTCCAGCAGTACCAGGACAAAGGCTAGAGAGGCCACAGCTTGATCAAGAACTTGATGAAAAAGTACCGTATCGCGCATTGATTGGTTCACTGATGTACCTTGCTGTTTGTACGCGCCCTGACATAGCACACACAGTAAGTCAGCTCAGTCAGTTTAACAACAGCTACGGAGACGAGCATTGGATAGCTGCAAAGAGAGTGCTCCGCTATTTGATGGGAACCAAGGATCTAGCATTATTCTATAGAAGGGGAAACCAAAATGAGTTTGTATTAGGTTATGCTGATGCAGATCACGCCGGAGACTTTGATAGAAGATCAAATTCAGGTTGGGTATTTTTATCTCAAGGAGGAGCTATTTCTTGGGAGAGCAAGAAACAACGTACAGTGGCAATATCGTCTGCAGAAGCTGAGTATGTAGCGTTATCAGAGGCTGCAAAAGAGGCAATTTTCATTCGCAGGTTTATTGCAGAATTAAGAGATGGACCCAATCCCGCAATCTCAATTTTCACTGATAGTCAGTCGGCTATGGCAATTGCTAAGAATCCTGTACATCACCAGCGTACGAAGCATGTGGATGTAAGATATCACTTTGTACGTGAGGCGATTGAGAATGGTGACATTCATTTGAGGTACAAGGAAACTAATAGAATGACAGCTGATGTTTTGACAAAGTGTTTGTTGAGAGGTAAATTTGAATGGTGTGTGAAAAGCATGGGTTTGAGTTGTGTGTGAATAAGATGGCTGTTTATATGGTAGGTACACTAACAGGCATGAGATTAAGGAGGAGTGTTAGAGCGACAAATTGCTAGGAGTTTATATTTGCGTGTAATCTCATTGTTGTTATTCGTATGGTTTGTGGTTGTCAGAATTATTTGAATATACTGACTGACATGCACTTCTAGTTTTGGTTGTTACTTGCTTAGATACGTTGTTTGTACTCATGTGTTCTATTTTGTTTGTAAATATATATTAAGTCAATATTAGCTGGCATTCTTTATTTATTATATATGATCGAGGTTATCTAGTCCTCGATCACATGTCTCGATCACATCTAGTTTGTTCAAACAAAGCGGACGCTGTCGAAACCCCCTGATTACTACATAATTTCCGCTCCATCTGCCCTATAATTCTGCCCTGCTAATTATACATGTAGTAAATAATCGATATTTTTGTGATTTTCACTTTTTTGCAGAAATTACATCCCAAGGAGAGAAATATATTACAAGTTCTTTCTTATTAAAATCATTCCTATTAGTAGACGAAAATCAAGAAGGTAGAGAGTGGTAGAGTTTTGTTAGAGAAAAAAGACACCTACTTTCGGGGTCAAATTAACAGATTATTAAGAATATTATTAATAATGTATTTTGTGTTGTCTTTCACTCCTAGTAAGCATGAGATTATTTAATATTATTCAATATTTTTCAGAACTCCCGCCTGTAAAGTGCAGGGAAACGGTTCTGAAAACGTCGCACTCGAAATCAACATGGAGGCGCCCAAAGGTTCGCCAACTTATTGCGGAGTTGCTTGGAATAATGTGAGTACATATTTTCAATCTATACTTGCTGACACACATTTTTGCTACAGACCGTTAAAATTTATAACACTAAGTGGGCCGATAGATGTTTCCGGAAGTATATTTTTCTTTGATGCCAAATCGTTCTCAACCAATCCCGTAAAGAATATAATTACCAATGGGGGTATCAAAGATCAACACAAACACGACACGTGGAGGTATGTAGGATACTCAACCATTAGAATATTTATTTATTTATTTAAATTTTCTTGCCACAATTTTACACATTGGACAGAACGCGGACAAAAAACATTCTCTAACATCTATAGAAAATTTTGCTAGAAAAAAATCCACTCAACCCAGGCATAAGACCGAATTCCAATCAGCACCTTCCGCTATCCGGACGAAGGTATGAATGTGCGAAGGTTCGAATCCTGTTTGATGCTAGGACCATGTGGAGTTTTTTCTCGTGAAATTTTCTTTAGTTTTGCAAATGTGGTAGTTAAATGATTAAAATAAAAATATAGTTTAAGATATTAAACAAAACCTTAGGTCATTCCAAAAGTCATCTTTAGCGAAGAGGAAAAAAATATGTGTTAAAAGACAAGAACTAAGTTGAGTACTTGAATAACCTTACATATCAAACGATGGCATGTAAGGTAAAATAATTTGTATTTGATTTTTTTTCTATGGTAATCTGATTATTGAGTACCTAATCAAAGATGATAAGTATATTGTTATTTCATTTTATACAGCGGACCAATGAGCGATCTGTACCGCTAGCCGTACGAGTGCATCGGACTCTCGAACTAGCGGATGACAAAACGTTCGTCATCACTTGCGGCAAAGCTGGCTTCAGAAACTCACGGTAAGACTTCCGAAAACAATTTGTTACTTTGGTGGAGAATCAAAAAATGGAAAAACCTGAGATATAGGTGCCTTAATTAATGTTTTCAATGACTATGCGGTGAAAAATTTAGAAACAGCATAGAACCTTATAACAGTAATAACGGTAATTATGAAGTGGTAACGTTTGCTGCAATAAATCAAAACAATGAATTGGAAGCCGTCATGTGGCAGAATCCTGAACAGATACGACTGACATTATAAATGTTATGAATTTAATATAGTATAAGTATTTAGATGGTGTCATAAAACTACGTAGTTTCCGCTAGAGTCTTCACAAAACTAAATGTCCAAGATGAGTTAAGGTCAGTTGGATTCACGTCAGTTTGCACGGCTTCAACCAAGTTAGCTCAAATGAGTTCACTTGCCGTGTCTATGGGTAATATATCTCAAGTGAAGAAACATAAATAATAGTTATTTATTATACAAGAGTGGAAAGTTCCTTTTTAACCGCGTGCTCGATTTGGATGACCGAGCAAGCGAAGGATTCTAAAGTTGAATCACGAGCGCAGCGAGTGATTCTAAATTAGAATCCTGAGCGTCAGCGAGGGAAACAAACGAGCACAAGGTGAAAAATCTTTCCACTCGAGTGCAATACGTAACTTTTCATCCCACCTCAGCGAGGAAATGACAAAATGAAAAAGAAAACAATTTATAATGACAAAATATTTAAGCAATTAAACGTGAAAAACTAGAATGGCGCGAAGCACGCAAATAAAACAAAGAAACTAAGAAGGTTCCAAATTTAAATTTTTTCACAATTTAAAAAGTTCTAATCATAAATTTGGCACCATAGAGGTTACATTAAATAGGTTTAATGACGTTTTGAATTTACAATTATATTGAGTACTCATTATATGTGATGTTCTAAATTCAAATCTACTTTGCCGCTCAAGCGAATAAAATAGAATTTTCCAGCCAGATTTCGAAGCGCAAAATTACACTTTCCGAGGTGGTGGGATGAAAAATAAATACCAATATAAACCTAAAAAAACACCAATCAGTTGTTTATGCCTTATAGTAGGGAAGCCCAAGTAGAGATTTTTAGATTTACTCGATCATGGCTTAATTACAATGGGAGGGCAACCTTGCACCTATGTTCTGCGCGTAATGCTTTCTAAGAAATGCATGCGCAGAATTATAGCGGACGATAATAATTGTCTTTAATTTATATTCATACATCGCTGCCGCGCCGAATCTAATTAGTATAAAACGTGTTACCTGCGCATAGATCAAAAGCTTATAACTTAAGTCGACTAATAAAATGGCGCTCAATCATCATGTTGTTATTCTAATATTCTACTCGTTCTAAATTAATAAAAAGAAATATTTAAACGCTCAACTATAATTAGTTTACAAATTAAAAATAAATTAAAGATATTTTAACGCGTGAAAAAATTTAGGTAAATATGAATGTAAAATTAAATAAAGACATATATTATGATTTATTAGAATTTTTGATTATGTACAGTTAAAATTTTTGGTAGATCTGTTTTCATCATTATATTTACATTTTTAATAGATAGATTTGTTTCTTAGGTTTTCACGCTCACCACTTAATAAATAAAACATGTTTCAACGGTATAGATGAACTGATTTATTTATTGACGTTTCACATCCTTTTCAGGAAAAAATTGTTTAAAAACGACTATAAATAAATAAATCAGTGCATCTATCTATACTGTTGAAACTTGTTTTAAGTAAATATAATAGGCTCTGTTCTTTAGATAAGAGCACGATGTTTTTGAAACTTTTCCATTAGTCTTCTTCAAAAGTGTGTTCTTCTTCAATTTTTTTGAAGTTATACTTCTTTAGGCGCGTTATGAAAAAATGATAAGAGTGAAATTTCAAGATGCGCGCGCATCACTGTAACACAAAATTTTAACAGCATGAACAACTTCATGCTGTTACTTTTGTGCTTACCGCACATTAAGAAAATCTACCAACAAAATAGAAATAGAATCTCTATTTAGTGGGTGCTAACGACTGCATTGTGAAGGCCTATCAAAAGTATTTATTAATCTGGAACAACAGAACCAAAGCGCGATTCAGGAGACTACAGCGCCATCTCTTGACCATTGGTGTAGTAGAACCAAAAACCACATCTTTATTTTTTGTAATAAAGTAACAGTTATAGGTATTCATATTAATAATATCAAAAGTATTTATTAATCTGGAACAACGGAACCAAAGCGCGATTCAGGAGACTACAGCGCCATCTCTTGACCATTGGTGTAGTAGAACCAAAAACCACATCTTTAATTTTTGTAATAAAGTAACAGTTATAGGTATTCATATTTATAATATTTATCCACATGTTTCTAGTTTGTATATTCGGAATACGTGTTTGAGTTTCATACAAGTGCAAATCACATATTATTATGTTCTAATAAATTATATTCAGTAGCGATTTTAATTGAATATTTTGATTATTTATTTATTTTTTCAAATTAAAACTGAACTTTATTGACTGTGTGCTTTTCCAGACTTTTTTTTAATTTATTGTAATTAATTATTTGCATGCAATTAAAAACTAATTTTAAACGATGCCAAAGAAGGATAACTTCTCACGCGCCTACATAAGTACACGCACCCATTTTTTATTTGTTCTATTCCAGAAATGAGACATCATTAGTGTCTTTGCGGGTGCTGAACCCAGATGGGCGCAAAGTAACGAACGTAGCGTTCGGTATGCCGTACACTCTGCGAGCAGAACTGAGCAAGTCCGATGGTGAGTCACCTACTTGGTTCATTTAAACTAAATCGATACCAAATCGGTTCACTGTTCCAAATCTGTTACCTTTATATCATTTCGTCGATGAACATCCACATGACATCACTTCATATCCTAACAACTCATATGCAGCTGCGATGACATTATACCAGCAAGTCACAACTGATGAAATTTAACAGTAATCTTTAGCGTGAACATAAAATAAAAAAATATACAATAAGGTCGAAATAGGGAAAAGGGGGCATGAGAAACAACCACTTATCACAAAACAAGAGGAACCAAAGGTTTTCTAAATCTCGATTCGTTCCAAAATATAAGATCTTTTTCATTTCGATATTCGTAAGATTTCTTGGCTAAACAAACAAATGAATATTTTGAATTCATCAAAATAATTACTCAATTAATGGTATTATGATTATATATAAAATTATTTCTCTTTAGCAGGTAGGTTTTTTAGGATTTTTACATTACTATAATGTTTATTTCTTCATCCATTGGATCAAACCACTGGATGCGGTACACGCAGGACCTTTGTATTTCGAAATCCCTAGAGGAGGCACATGTCCAGCTTTGGACGTCCTTCGGCTGATTATGATAAATGTTTATTGATATTTTTTACAGGAACTCACGGAATCAGGATGAAGAATTGCTTCGCATTCAACATGCGCAACAATACTGTGAATCTCCTTGACAGTAGGGGGTAAGTTTGTGTCTCTGAATAACTTGAACTAACACTTAGGTACGTCAATCTTATAAAAATACGAAAAAAATATATATCAAAATGTTATTCTAAAGCTCTTATAAAGAAACGGATATCCGATAAAATTGATTCTTAAAAAAATATTAACCTTTTCTTGTATCTTACTCTCGTACATACATACATTATTTTAAATGTTCTTTAATTTTCCCATACTGATAAATAAAATACCTTTCCATATAACTTTACTCAAGTTGGGTTTTGATAACTCCATCTATCTAGAAAAGTTCGATTGAACCTCATAAAATGCCCAGTTTCTTACTTACTCTACAAAACTACATTTTCATATATAATAATATTTTTGTAAGGTTATACATAAATCAATGGATTTCTTACCCTGACCGCATCCCTAGAACATAACAGAAAAGCACACCATCAAAAGGCAGTTTTTTTGGGGAAAGTTAATTCCCCAAACTTGCGTTCCAATTCCAGCCAAACGATCTGAATTCTTGTCAGTACCCCAAGCACGATTAACTAGTGAGAAAATATTTGTATCGCCATCTCAAAATTTCTGTAGAAACTAAGCAGCGGGCCCTACCGGGCATAAGAATAAACTAGCTCTTTTCACAGAAACTTTGACGATGGCCATACGAATACTTTCCGCCAATATTTCGTGCTTGCGGCACAGGTAAATACAGATACGATATACCTATACAATATTCTAGTGCTAGAATTAGTAATCTAAGAAATTTTCGATTGATTATTTAACTTTGGTACTGTAATATGGGGTTACTGAATTCGGCCTGCGACCGTTTAAGTTAAGCAACTTTCACAATAGTTACTCAGAATAATCTCAATAAAAAAAACACACATTGCCGTTGGTCCCGGTTGTATATGCATTCATAATAGCATCCACCAGTCCGAACGGCCCGCGTGGATGGTCATGGCCTTTTCTTCTTCCTAATCTATCCACAAGGAAAACCTGTGCTCCAGAAGTGGAGACAATAGGCTGATGATGATAATGACTCTTATAAAAATTCTAGAAATTTTACATAACTTTAAATATTTCAGTTGTCCAGTGAAGAACTCATTAGTAGTGAAGACTGAAGGCAGCACGGCAGAGATCGCCATAGCCTCGATGTTTAGGTTCCCAGACTCGTCACAAGTCAACTTACAATGTGACATTGCAGAGTGCAAAGGTAAAAATATACAAAATACTAATTTCATGCTATAAGATTTAATACCAGCGGTGAGACGCTAAGGTACAACAATATTGACTTGACTGGCCTCGTCTCATTCACCATATCTCGATCTCGCCTTGTCAATTGACTTTCAGCTGTATACATGCATATTGATACATGAATCTGGAGTTGGCATTTGCTAAAGTTCATTATAAATAACCTCATATATGTTCGAACTGCTGAGCTTGGACTGGTTGAAATTTATGTGGTCATCTAATTACAAATCCAGTTAAAAAAGAAGCAGAAAACTTCTTGAGTAAACCATAGATAAACAAACTTGCACAAAAGACGTTTTTGTAGGTAAAATTGCTAAACTGCGCAGGCTTCATTGACTAGTGTTTATGCTTAAGATATTTTCCGGGGTGCATAAATCCAAGGGATTAAATTACGAATAAGCGCATTATGTTATTTTTCGAACCAAGTGAACTGGAATCTCCATGCTAAAGCGTGAAAGTTTCTACTATTTTTTGAAATAATTTAACCATTTGTTTTAGGCAGCTGCATGGCCGTAGATTGCTCTGCGGACGGACGCAACGACCCCTCCGACGAGGAGGCTCTAGTGACCTCCTCCACTGGCATATTCGTTTTGGACCCTAACGATAATGCGGGTACATTAATACTTACGATAATGCGGGTACTTTAAAAATATATTAGTATGAAATGCGTTTATGACCTGTTTATAGATGTTGTTTGAAATAGCACGTATGAGCAGAAATAGTGCGATTCTCACACAGCCTACGCAAAACGCTGCGGGGTGCAGTCCTGCATCTGCATGCAGATTTCGCTGCACATGCGTACGGGGCTGCAGTTTTTTGACTTCATTCCACAACATCTTGCGGTAGTGATAGCAGAGCATGGTTTTATATATTAAAAATGGTTAATAATTCAGAATACTGCAGTTAAATTTTCTACTTTAGTTTGGTTTTTGTATAGTCAAATTAGAAGATATAGTGATAGAAGATATTGGGTACATCCCTTTATAAGAACAAGAGCAATAAATGTGTATTTTTTTCAGAATTGCTCAGAATTAATAAAATACAAATAATATAATACGTTACGTAGGGGGTACCCACGTATACGTGTGGGACAAAACGCACGTAGGCGTGTGATCTGCAACACTGCGCGTGAATGCGATTTAAATTACGTGAAAAGTAGAGCAGAGTGAATTTTTCCGCACGAATTAGAGAGATCATCTGCCAAAATATCCTATAGAAGATTTCAAACAAATAGTAGTATTTAATAGTATAAAATAACGCACGTCAATAATTTTGCTCGATCTTTGAAATATTTCAGACTCCGTGATCACTAGAAGGACTCAGTGAGTCAGAAAACGATTCAGGTGTAGCATGAATGTTTATCGCACCCGCTCTTCGCATTTGGAAATCACTTAGACTTCTTAAAATGTTACTTAGGGTGCATCCAGTCACCCATTCGAGGACCAGTAATTTACTTCCACGATAGCAGACCGCACGCATTAATGACTTTCGCCATCGAGCTCCTCCAAAAATTCAAAGCATCACAATTTGATTCCAGTTCTGATGTGCTCGGAAACGGGCATCCGGCCGCTGTGGCTGCTGTACCTGGCCATCGCGCTTGGCGTGATGTTTGTGGTGATGCTGCTCATCAACTGCTTCCTCTGTACCGCCATGACCTGCTCCTGCGCCAGGACCGATGTAAGTATCCAGCTGTAGATATTGCTAAGCTATAAGCTTATTTACCAATTTTCATATTCCTACCTTGAAAATTGGCAAAGTATCATACTTACCTTCACACCCTATTTTTAGAAGAATTGCCCAAACTTTGTGCAAAATTTCGTGCTTACAGTCCAGTTTTGGCTGGGCGTTGATCGATCAGTCATTAAATCGGTTGTTACTTTTTTAATATACATTACCTAATTTTACTAAATATTAAAGGCATTTCTGCCGTAAGAGAATTCACAGACAGCACTATTATCACTCCAGGTTCGTCATGTTAGACAAAATAAAATAAAAATATCCAAATGTAAGCCCGTTTAACTGAATCCATGATTCAATGAAGCTGGCTTAATCTACTCCGCAGAGCATCCCCACAAGAGTCAGCATCAGGTAGGTATTAAATATTTGTTTGGAGTCATAATCGCCAAAGTTAGCGGCGTGCTGGTAGGGTAGGCCGCGTTTTTATTGGAAACGGTCACATGTTCCGGCGGTCGGATGCAAATTTGGTTAAACGATGTATCGCTGTTGGTGGATGTCTGCGGGTGGGTCAATCACATGCTTATTCGATAATACTCACAAAATTCGTAAATACTACATAAGCTTGGCATAAGTAAGTGTCCTTGTATGCGGTCTCTAGGGGGATAGTCTGGTGCTTTGTGATTTACTTGTATACGTAGCGGTAAAGTTCTTGATCAAAACCTCAGATAAATAAACTTGCGCAGGAGAAGTTTCTGTATATAAAATTGCTATACACGCTGGCTTCCTTTTCTATGGTGGATGCTCAAGAAATTTGCCGGGGTGAATACTTTTAGGAAAGATTAAGAGATTAATGTTCGTGTTTACAGGTAATCGAGAAGGACCCGTCGGTGGTGGAGGACTACGACCCGTACCGCAGCTGGCACGGCAGCCAGTACGGAAGCAGGTACCCATCGTCCACTATACATTCAGCGAGGTAAGCGTTAACATTCGAACTATGCATGCTTCTCTCGCATGCATGCCGGAACTACAACTCGCAAAATTGGTAATATAATACCTTCGAGAAGTAGAGTTCCACTTATGATTGATTCTAGATAGACTACGTTTTGAGACCTCGCTGAATATTTTATTAATCTAAGTATGGTATATACTATATTACATATATAGGTAAGCTGTAATACTCGAACAATGCATGCTCCCCTCGCATGCATAACAGAACTACGACTCGCAAAATACCTAAATAATACCTAAGAGAAGTTCAATTCCACTTATAATTAATTCTAGATAGAGTATCTCGCCGAATATTTTATTTATCTAAGTATGGTATATCTACTATATAGTACCTATAAGTTCATCTAGGTAAAGCAAGCTGTCTCTGCTTAGCCCGATGGTTGACTGGTAGAGAATGCCATGTGGCATTAAGTCCGCCATTTGTAACAAAACAATAAAGCGTAAATAAATAAATAAAATAAAATAAATAACACTGGAACAATGCATGCTTCTCTCGCATGCATGCCAAAACTACTATTTTGCTAAATAGGTACACAAGAAGTAAAGTTACACTTAAGATTCTTTTTGAATAGACTGCATTTTTAGACCTCGCTGAATATTTTAAATAGGTGCCCATCTAAGTACGGTATATACCTTCTATAGATCTAGCATTATAACCTGTAACACTCGAACAGTGCATGCTTCTCTTGCATGCATGCCAGAACTAGAACTCGCGGACTAGGTAATTAATTCCTACGAGAAGTAAAATTCCACATAATATGATTGATTCTAAATAGACTATATTTTGAACCCTCGCTGAATACTTCTATTATATTAATATCTATAGTATAAGTATTTTATCTTTCATGGGTTTTAAAGATTTATGTGTGTTGCTTTGTACAAGTGAGACATTGGGCATATAGAACGGCAACCCGTTTCGAATTTGGATCGAGTTACGAATAAACTAAGCATAATAAGGCATAAAATTATTAATTTTAACTTTAAATTATTAAAACATCTACTATCGAACAAAGTTTTCGTGTCAGTAAAAGATTCTGCGAACAAACACGATATTTTTATTTTCGAGCGTTATTAATTTAAATCTCTTTGGTAGTTGTTAGCAGATCATCAGAATCTTTTAAAGTAACCTCTGCAAATTTCTTCAAATCTGTCGACTATCGAGTTTAATTAAATAGAGCTTTTAAAGAATGGAGCTTTTGAGAATGGTTCTAATTTCAAAGAGAAATAATTGCATTTGTAAGTTTATGTATTCTATAAAATTAATAATGTTACTTCCAGGTCGGTATCGGATAACAGCGACCATTACGCGATAGTGCAATCGAGGCCAGGCAGTCGACACTCGGGCATGCACAGAAATAGGCACTGAAGCGAAACGAGCTGATAGGTATTATGATAACAATGTAACAATAATCATGGACGTCCGCCTGAGATGAAACTTTATATCAATCTCAACAAACCAGTGTAAAATACAAGCGACTCTGCGCGAAGGATAAATAAGGATCGCTGTATGAATTCTAATTGAAAATTACAATACCTAAAGTTAATATAGTCTCCTATAAACTACTTAAGTACTTTATGTAGTTTTAAGAAATGGTGCTTAGAGACAATATTACAGTGGAAATGAATATTTATACATTGTATTTACCTAGTGTAAATTTTATAGATGTAACCTTTTAAGAAATGAATGAATATATTTTTTGTCTGGAATGAATTTAACTTGTGCCATGTATTTCCGATTTTCCATACATGTACCTTTGCGTGGCTCTATGAGCCTCCTAATATTTAGGTATTAGTTCGTAATTGACAACACGACCTGATAGATGCAACGAATCCGTCCAATTAGTATTAAGGTTCTATTAATTATTACCCATATTTTGAAAGACGACCGCAGAACACTTACCTCTTATGCGAATCTCGTCGGTAGTAATTGGAATGACCAGTTCATACTCAGACGAATGTTATAATTATTAGGTACATATACCTACATGAAGTTACTTAACCACTTTACTTTATTCTCACAACAGTAAAAAGTATGAACTAGTCGATTATATACTACTTATTTTATGAAAATATTTTAATAATCAATCTAAGAGTATTTCATGTTTAAGCTTATGTAAATGTTTCTATAAATATTTAGTAACAAACGAATTTTGACGACATAACACCACATCATACCTGTGAATAATTCTAATTAAAGAACTTAGTAAGGTAATTAATAAGTATTAATTTCGATTACATAATTTGCTAAATCAAGTGTGTTTTTCCCAAGATAAGAGTGAGTGTGTTGTTAATGTCATACCTTAAATAATATTAGAGTTAAGTAGGAATATTGTAACTCCTGAATTGCTAAAAAGAAGAAAGTTAGATTAACAAATTTAAATCATGATTTCTGTACTGATAAACATAGACATAGATCCCTATTTTACAATAAAAGCGATCACGTTTGTGTTTCTAAGTTATTTTCAATTCAAGAGTTATGATTGTGCTCATCATTTAAATTGGTTTTTGCTAATAGAAATTGAGTTGTTTCCTTATAACTAAGTAAATAATAAAATTAGTACTAAGAACAATCTATTTGTGTTTCTTTACAGAATTATCTACCTAGAAACTTAAAATGTTCGCCGTGAACTTAAAAACACGCACTATCTTATTAATAAACGCATAGTAAGCTTGGATTAGTTAATCCATGTTTTGTATTGAACAAAACACGTCGTAACTAGTCTAAGCTTATTCTTTGTTTATTAATAAAGGGGCTAAATTTTGTTATTTTCTTGATACGGTCATATTTTATTATTAAATATATTTTAATGTAATAAATATTAAATATATTTTTATTTTAAAAATTTAACTGATTGATGGTCATAACAACAGAAAAATTTCCTTTTCATCCCACCACCTCGGAAAGTGTAATTTTGCGCTTCGAAATCTGGCTGGAAAATTCTATTTTATTCGCTTGAGCGGCAAAGTAGATTTGAATTTAGAACATCACATATAATGAGTACTCAATATAATTGTAAATTCAAAACGTCATTAAACCTATTTAATGTAACCTCTATGGTGCCAAATTTATGATTAGAACTTTTTAAATTGTGAAAAAATTTAAATTTGGAACCTTCTTGGTTTCTTTGTTTTATTTGCGTGCTTCGCGCCATTCTAGTTTTTCACGTTTTATTGCTTAAATATTTTGTCATTATAAATTGTTTTCTTTTTCATTTTGTCATTTCCTCGCTGAGGTGGGATGAAAAGTTACGTATTGCACTCGAGTGGAAAGATTTTTCACCTTGTGCTCGTTTGTTTCCCTCGCTGACGCTCAGGATTCTAATTTAGAATCACTCGCTGCGCTCGTGATTCAACTTTAGAATCCTTCGCTTGCTCGGTCATCCAAATCGAGCACGCGGTTAAAAAGGAACTTTCCACTCTTGTATAATAAATAACTATTAAAAGATCCACTCGGGTCAGAGATCACATAGGTTTGAGTGGTTTTTTTTTTCTAGAAATGTTTTGTTGATAATATTTTTTTATGTAATACTTAAAACCTTTCAATGGGACCATGCGCGCTAGTTTACGACTTACTGAAGCTGCCATTCCACCGCAAGCAATAAAGTTTGGCGTGTAATTTCTTTCGAGTATGTACTATCTGCAAATAGAATTATATGGCCGTTTGTTCTGATATTCCTACAACACAGAGTTACAAGAGGCGTAAAGAAGCTGCTTGCAGGCCAGCAAGGTAAAAGTGAGGATGTGGCAGATAAAACTGCTGCACCAGCAATTATCTTCGCGTCTAGATTTGGACCACTTAATATCACCAGGATTGGTTTGGTACCCTAGATCTCTTTTCAATTTCATTAAACATTTAACCAAACATACTTACTATTTTTATTTGAAGAGTTCTATTGTTTATCTTCGAAATATCTCTTAACGTAACCATAAAAACACACCTTATAGAAAATTTCACAGTGGTCTTAACAGGGTACAGTTAATTTCCATTTCCCACTTGAATTAGAGATCTGTCTGAGGTCTTATAAGAAGAAATCTTCTGTGGTTATGTTGTGTTTATACAATAAGACCACACACCGCCAGGGCTTAAAAGGATAAGACTGGGTAAAACAATAAGCTAATGATATAAACGCAATGTAGAAAGCATACCTTTAATATAGATTATGGCGGCCTTTTCCTTTGCTACCATTGGGCAAAGCATTAACCCAATAGGAGCATAGGTAATATTATGTTTGTCCTATCCGCAAAAACAAAACGCCGCCAAGTTATCATAAGTGGTATCTGATTTGTAAACTTACATACCCACAGTATGTTTACAAACCTGTTAAATAGCAAAACCTCTAGGTAGGTAATAAGCATATCATTTCAAAATTGAAATCTTGATTTGACATGCCATATTTATCACGCTACTGAAATTCGCCATCATGACTTATTAAAAGGATTATTACCCTAGAAACCTCAAGTTAGATGAAAATTTACACACTACGTAGCTGAGTTGGCCAAGAATGAATAGTAAGGAGAATTATTTCCAGTAGTTTCCTTCTATTGCGGTTTTTTTAACGATTTCTGCCTCTTTGTTTGAGCAAGCGCTGTTTTAAATTACCGACCTAATTTAATAAAATATTAGAAATAACAAAAAGAAGTACATTTATATATTACCTTTCAACTTTAATCATCCATATAGACCTACGTTAGGCTGGGAACAACTGGGAATTACTCGGGATACTTCGTTGCTAATTTCATTATAATTCTCTTTAGTAGAACTCTGTAGACATAGTGTACTTACAGCAAAATTGCTACGGAATTCGTGACGAAAATAGAGATTCAAAATGCCGCCAAAACTGTTTAAAACGTAAACAACATCGTTACTATTCCGAACCACGATTGAGTTGAGATTTGTTTACGATTGTACACAAACGATATTATGGTGTACACAAAAAAACCGAAGCAGGAATTTAAAGGCGTTAGGATCGCATATTGCTTACATTATAGTCCTGCGGGTCTATTTAAAAAAATGCTTTTCTCAATAAAATTGTCTCGATTTTTTCTCATTATATAATGAGCTATAATCTGAGATCAGTGGGGTTAGAGTTTTTTATTTTATTCTTTTCATCGTTAACGCTTATCTTAAAAAAAGTGAAATAAATTTAAGTGGAACGAGTTAATAAAAAAAAACTTATGCACACAAATCACGATTATTTCTTTATTTATGAAGTGTTTAACACTATCTGAATACATACATAAATAACTTGCTAAAATTAAATTTTCTTTTAAAATAAACATTTGTACATTTATAACATAGCAATCTTTTTATAATGATATTAAAAATAATGGAAGAACTATAATTAAAAATCATAAGCTAGTTATACCACTGGTTATACTTTACTGTTGATCAATACTATTTGTAACAAGTGAAATAAATGAGTTGGTTAAAAACAGGATTCGGTAAAATTATTCAATTAAAAAGATTATCACTTTCCAATCGACAGATGCTGATATGTTACAAAAGCTGCCAGTTCATATACCTAATTAAAAGGTTGGGGCGAAAATTTCAATATTTTTTTACTGAATATAAATACTTCCGGACACATCTAGCGGCCTACTTTAAATGCTAGCATTTTAAGTTTTGACGGTCCCTAGCTAAAATAAAGTTATATTGAGCAAAAAGTTTTACGCAATTTTGAAGCATCTTTTTCGTGTGTTTTTAAAAATATATTATTATGCTGCTGAACCTAACATATATCTTCGCTACAGACCGTTGAAACTTATAACTCTAAGTGGGCCGATTGATGTGTCGGGGAGTATATACTCACATATTTTATTACATAGTCGCTTGTATTGAACTACACTCTACCAATATATACAAATTACGAGTATATTATCCTATGATCAAATGGTACTAATTTTTGGACTAGAATGATTTTATTTTTACACCAATAAATATTTATTTCAAATCAGCGACACAATAAGATTACATCATCATCGAAACATCGCTAAGACGTGCACTGAAAAATTGAGTTAATTTTTATGCCCTCAATGTATTTATGCAATGTTTTGCTATACTAGGACTTATATTGATCTATGCTTAATCGAATCGCATTCTATACTTATAAAGACCATACATGATTCGAAATGATAAACGATTGATGGGTATGACCTCTTTAGTGTCTTACGAATAATTGAATAATCTGAGGTGCCTAAAGCAGTGTACGAGTTACGACTCGTATTGTACCCACTAGTTAGCTTACAATGTTCCCGAATACTGTTTTTCCCATTTCTCTTACAAGATGCACTATTAAATCATCCTTTACCGGTCTAAAACATAATATTATCCTGTCGCTTACACTAATTTTGTGACAATTTATGGTAGGTACAGTTACAAAATGTCTCTGATATTCAAAGTGTTTATCCGTTAAACGTAGTTTCTTTCATCCGCCATAATGCATGTAACCGTTTAATACTTATTTTGCAATGCCACCGACTGCAGCTTAGATCACGGTAAAAAATAAATAAAATATATCTCCAAAAAACTTAATCGTCTATTTATTATCAACTTTCCGAACGTACCCAATCGCCAGGATCAAGGGCGGCATTTGATTTATTAATAGTAAAACACATTATTATTACGATGCCTGTCCACTGGAGCGGAGCAAGGCTGCGGAGCAGACAGACGGAGAAATATTAATATTAGGATTGCACAAAATCTGTCTACTGAAGAGGAGCGGAGAGTTTGTGAGTGTCATATAATAATTTAGTAATATTTCTCCGCCCCGTGGACAGGCAACACGGTCATACGAAATAATGACATTTTAAAATCTACAGTTTAACGGGTGGCAGTCAAAATTGACATTGATCTAGTGTTTGTCGTGTTTCTGTTCGAGCATCGTGTTAGCTACCTTCTCGTAGAGAGACCTCTTGTATATGCGCGGCTGGGACCCGCGCAGGCTGTGAGGGTAGCCGCCGAAAGCGGTCTCGTCGTCGAACCAGCTGGTGGTAGGCTTAATAAAGAAAATACCAATTTTAATTATAAAAGTTTTCTATCATCGCAAACGTTTTAAAATATTTAGGATAGATTACTCTTCAAGGCTTACATTAATATAGCAAAAATATATGGTTTCACAGTCCAAGACCTCAATGACGCTTGTTTGCCATTGGTTCATTAAAAGTTATTGCCAACAGTTCCCAAAATCCTATCCGGTAAAAAGTTTTTCGCATCCTCAAGATAAAAACTGAATGTTTACTAGTTACGAATATTAAAAACGAAGATTATATTTCCAATTTATTCCAATTTGATGATTCCTCCAATATGTTTTCATGTCACAAGCAACCACCTTAATATTCACGCCTACACAAATGCTAATTCGAGATAATTATAGACGTATGATGACATCTTGTTTAATGTTTCAACAAACAACACGCCTGAACGAAAATATATTGATTGAACCCTGAACGCCTCCTGATATATTTATATTTCCAATTGAATGAACGCATACGTCTCGCCGATTTGCGTCAGGTTGTCCTACGCAATGCAGTGACGTCATTCCATTATATGACCGAGTGGACTTAATAAAGCTAAGGTTTAATCAAAATCAAACCTGGAACTTGTTTATCGAATTATCAATGTCTCATTTGGATGGACAGACGCATCTTGATTGAGATTATTACAATATAAAACAGATAATACTGAGTGTGCGGCGTTTAATCGCAAGAAATGCCGGGTTCGTTGAGTTATTTACTTGGTCTTTAGTCGTAACATGAATTAATATTAATAATTTAGTTTCATTATAGTATCAATGGTACGATGTTTTTATAAAAATCAGGTAAACTTGTGGAAACATAAATTACTTTTTTAATATTACATTTTACCACAGAGTTCAACAGGGGGTCTAGATTATAATTATGCAAGCAATATTTACGAAATATAAAAAGGTTTGTTTCTTAGGTTTTCACGCACATCACTCATTAAATAAAACTAGTTTTTTATGGGTTAATACGCGATAACGGTGCGAAACGTCAATAAATAAATAAAGTTTCGTGCATTAACCCGTAAAAAACTAATTCTGTAAAAAGGTTTTCAATCACACGTAGGTACATCAGAAAGTACACATTGGTATCGATTCTGGTATGATTCTCTAAAATTAAAACTAAATTTAACCTGAGTCTCTCCTTTTCATTCTATATAATAATAATAATAATAATAATTTAATTTATTTGCCAAAATACAGTTCACAAGTTGATACATATTAAGTAAGTACGTGTATTCTACCTGCAGGCAGGTGTGCAAATATTGCAGTCAGTTATTTTTTTCATCTGTCATATATTCGTTAATACTATAATAACATTTTTTTTGTAACCATTTTGTCAACTTACTTCTAAACAGTGTCCCAGTTTCTAATTTTATATTGTCAGGTAATTTATTATATATACATATTAACATGTTATAAGCATTAACTTTATAAATATATGCGTGGCATATAGAGAATGACAAGGATACACTGTTGTCGAATTAAAGTTTAGGTTTAGAAAATCATGTCAGAATCGACACCAATATCATCATTCATTCTTCTCATCTGTGATTGATTGGAAGATTATACTCACCATATCTACAGTAAATGTACAACCCTGCCCTTTTCACCTTTTTATTCTTGATGCAAATATGAAATTAACACGTGGCCAATTAGTAATAACACACGCAATATCAACCCTGACCCTATGAAGATCTATCTATACATATTCTCCTTAGGTAGGTTGGTAGGTAATAATTTTCCCAGCAGTTACAATAATATTCGTTTATAATTATATATAGCGTTTAACCACTTTTGGACGCATAGCGATCACTTTTAGTTTATTTTATTGTCTGGAGGAAACTATAAGCAAATATACCAGATCGGACCAAAAAACAACTGCTAATCACAAAAAAGAATAAATCGCATTGGACATTAGAAATTGAAAACCGAAACTAACCGAACACAGCGCAAGCGTATTTCGCCTTATTAATAACTAAGTATTCCCTTTTATTGTTAAAGTTAAAATCGAAGTGGAACTAAATAAATACCTATTGGGAAAACGTGATAAAAATTGCATGTGTTCAGAAATTGACAATAAGAGTCTGAAAAACTATGAAAAGATACGCCAGGCAGCGAAATCAAGAAAATTAAAACCTAGTAGTAGCCGGGCGTCAGAAGGCGGTAGAAGTGGCCATAGTAGCACTTACCTAAGGAATACATAGTAAGCTCTCACCTCGAGCCTGAACTTGAGCACGTACGCAGCTGCCTGGTGATGCGGCACTGTGACTACGCGCGACACGGGGAAGTATCCCGGCCGTGTCGCCGTCACGTCGTAGTAGCCCGGCGTTAGCAGGCTGTAGTAGTCGCTGTAAGTACCCACCTAGGGAATACATAGTAAGCTCTCACCTCGTATCTGAAGATGAGCAAAGTACGCAACTGCCTGGTGGTGCAGCACTGTGACTACGCGCGACACGGGGAAGTATACTGGGCGCGTCGCCGTAACCTCGTAGTGGCCCGGTGTCAGCAGGCGGTAGTAGTCGCCGCAAGCACCTACTTAAGGAATGCAAAGTCAGCTATCACCTCGAGCCTGAAGATGAGCAAGTACGCAGCTGCCTGGTGGTGCAGCACTGTGACCACGCGCGACACGAGGAAGTATACCGGGCGCGTCGCTGTCACCTACCTAAGGAATACAAAGTAAGCTCTCACCTCGAGCCTGAAGTTGAGCACGTGCGCAGCTGCCTGGTGGTGCAGCACTGTGACCACGCGCGACACGAGGAAGTATACCGGGCGCGTCGCTGTCACCTACCTAAGGAATACAAAGTAAGCTCTCACCTCGAGCCTGAAGTTGAGCACGTGCGCAGCTGCCTGGTGGTGCAGCACTGTGACCACGCGCGACACGAGGAAGTATTCCGGGCGCGTCGCTATCACCTCGTAGTGGCCCGGCGTCATCAGACGGTAGTAGTGGCCGTAAGCACCTAGTTAAGGAATACATATTAAGCTCTCACCTCGATCCTGAAGTTAAGCACGTGCGCTGCCGCCTGATGATGCGGCACTGTGACCACGCGCGACACGAGGAAGTATACCGGGCGCGTCGCTGTCACCTCGTAGTGGCCCGGCGTCAGCAGGCGGTAGTAGTCAATGTAGGCACCTACCTAAGGAATACATAGTAAGCTCTCACCTCGAGCCTGAAGTTGAGCACGTGCGCAGCTGCCTGGTGGTGCGGCACAGTGACTACGCGCGACACGGGGAAGTATCCCGGCCGTGTCGCCGTCACCTCGTAGTGCCCTGGCGTCAGCAGTCGGTAGTAGTCACCGTAAGCACCTACCCAACGAATACAATTTATGAATATATACTTTTACTAGCTGACCCAGCGCCATAAAAATAGGGGCAAGTGGTAGGAGAGAAATTTAGGGTTATATGTATTTTTGAATACCACATTATAAAAAAATAATTATTGTCCAAAAAAATTTTAGGGGTGTGTAACGTAGTGTTCTATCAATTTCCTATGGATACATTCCTCCTAACACATATGAGAACACTACGTTACAATACCCAATAGTTAGCGCGAAGGCGCGTTGTAGGTTTCAGAACACTACGTTACAGGTGGACAACCATTATCACTTAAGGATATGAAAAATAGATAGTAGCCGATTCTCAGACCCACGGAATATGCATATAAAATTTCATAAAGATCGGTCAGGCCCTTTCGGAGGAGTATGGTAACTACCATTGTGACACGAGAATTTTATATATAAGATATAGCATAAAAAATACTTAAGACCGAACAAATAAAGGGGTATCATTAATAGAGACTAGTTCATAGTGGGTGTAGAAAATGCATCCGTAAGAGTGAGTTAAGTTTTCCAGTAAGGGCTCTTCAAACTTTACTTCATTTGATTATGGAAAGACAGTTTTGGATACTAGTCTGTTCCAAAGTAGAGCAGTACGAACATACATTTAAAGGGCTGGAAATAGAAATTTGTATTTCCTATTAGGAAGGAAGGAAAGAGCAAGCATTTTGTAAAAGGAAATAAGATAACGAGAAGACGTACTTAGATGTTTTAAAATGAGAATAAAGAATATGTCATGCAAATCACGTTGAAGGTGAATGGGAAGTCATTCCAATTGAAAGCGAAAACCAGAAACTTAGTCTAATTTAAATTTACGCAAACTGGATATAAATCTCATGATAAGATGCTCGAGATTATGCAGATGTTCTTTAGTTACATAATAAATATATATTAAAAATAGTAAGCATAGGCAGTCGGGAATTGGGAACGGAAGTGATAACGCCATAGCGCCAGGATTATTTTGGTTTTGAGAGGAAGAAAACATTAAACCGCGTTTAACCAGGACACCGTAGTTACCATCAATAATATAAACCAGGTTTTACGCTTTATCTGTGTAAAGTAAAAGACATCCGTTATATCTTAAATTTAAATTTAATTTAATTCCCGTTAAAAATAAGTTTTAACGGGATCTAACGTTTTTTTAAATAAGATCTAACGTTTTATTTTTATGAAATGTAAAACCTTTTCCAAAGGCATTATTTTGTTACCAAAAATCATGAAAATTTGTTATACATAGCAGATAAGGCTTGAAAATTTAACAGACAGCGGAACGTCTGGAAAGGCAACCAGAATAAGTTTTACATAATTATGATATAAGTATGCATAAAAGGTTTTATTTGCATCTAAGCCTGTTTGCTGCCAACAAGCAATCCGTCTGTGAATTACAAGTAACTTTAAAATTTAAATTTAATTTAATTTAACAAAATATTTTTTTTGTGGTCATCCAATACAATATTGGAAGGGGCAAGATACATACAAAGGATAGCATATAATATTATAACATTTTTTATAAAACTCAGCAAATTATTCCTTTCCACAGTTGTATAGATAGGTGGTGCACCAGAGAATTCTTTCGCAAGGTAATGATAACTCTACGTGCAATTTTGTTGCGTTATAGTTTACTGAAGTCTCATCACTTCCGGGTGGGTGAGAATCAAAGGTGCCATACTGCCATTCTATGATACGAGTCATTGTCTGTATCGTAACAGTTATCTAATAACAAAACATTGCATTGCATGTACGTATAATAGGCATAGCCATGATACGTAATGGTGAACATAAATACGAAACAATAATAACATAATTTATCATTTTCCCACAAATTTATTTCATATCAATATGGTTGTCAACCTGTAACTAGAAATTGTGTTTAATGAGAAGACGGGATTGCTACCATGTAGCTTGTTTTTTATGCCTGATATTTCGAGACTGTTGCAAGCGCCATGATCACACGGAGTAACTACCCGCTAATAAGTATAATGTAAGTGACCATGAAAGTTACAAACAACATATTATCTACGCTTACACTTTGTCAAATACCGTTAAGTAATTAGGTAATCGTAATAATTTTTGCGTCCTCCCAGTTAGGACATAAGGCACCAAGGTGTGGACACTCATGGCTGGACTAGTTCACCTGTTTTAAGTCATTCAGAGAGCTATGGAAAGGGCTATGCTCGGAGTATCCCTGAAGGACCGCATCAGAAATGATGTAATCCGACAGAGAACCAGAGTCGCCAACATAGCCCACTGAATTAGCAAACTGAAGTGGCAGTGGGCTGGTCACATTAGCCGCAGAACTGACGTCCGTTGGAGCCGTAAAATTCTTCAGTGGAGACCGCGACTCGGTAAACGTAGTGTAGGACGACGAGGAGACAAGATGGGATAATGACATTCGTAGGCTGGCTGGAGTGGGCTGGATGAGAGTGGCAGAAAATCGGGAGCAGTAGCGTGCATTAGAGGATACCTAGTGGACGAGCATGGGATGGTGATGGTGATAATGAATATTTTTTAAATAAATCCTAAATATAATATGTTTGAAATTATCATGATAAGATTAATTATGGTTATTAATTAATTGTACTTACTTTAAACTTTGTCCAATTAAATTGTCTTGTCTTGTCCATTAGAATTTTTATAATTTTTAAATAAGGAATTCAGTTTTATGAGTGAGTTGGGGTTAATAGCTAAAGTCACAAATTAACTCTTGTCAGGAAGCACTTAATTATCCATGCATGACACAATTACTGCATGCATGAGATAGGGCTAGACGGCAGAAAATGTTTGTTTATACTCTCGTACTTAGCTATAAGTCGTTCATAACAGCGATCTTATGTAATTGATTATTGACATCAATATTTGTTAAATTTGATTTCGATATTGTACTTTTGCGCAGGTTGACTATGATGACAAACCAGTAAGATATAAATATAGAGAAATCCCGACCTATATTAAAATACTAGCGGCCTGTCCCGGCTTCACACGGATGTGTTAAATACTATGGAAACATAATGAATCAGCATCCGAAAAAAGAATATAATTAATACAGATTTTGAAAGTAGCTGGACTGATTTTCTTATGTAATTTTTTCCATTGCCTTTTGGAAGCTTCGTTGTCACGCCACGACATACAGACAGACTGATAGACTTTTTGACTATTTGACAGATCATGACTGACAGAGGTTTTTTAATCTTTGACGTATCACAATTAACTGACAGATGCTTTAATTCTTTGACGTATCAAAAATGTCTGACAGAGATTTTTACCTCTTTAACGGATCACAACATTCACAACAGACTGACAGACTTTTTGACTTTTGACAGATAACAACAGACTAACAAACTTTTTTTCTTTTGACAGATCACAACTGACTAACATAGTTTTTGATTCTTTGACGGATCACAACTCAGTGATAGTTTTTATTGTTTGACCGATCTCCACTGACTGGCAGAGGTTTTCACTCTGTGACGGATCACAACTGACTGCCAGAGTTTTTATTATTTGACTATCACAACTAACTGGCAGAGCATTTGTACTCTTTGACAGATCATAACTGACTGAGTTTTTGATGTATCACGATCGACTGACAGACTTTTTGACTCCTTGATGAATAGCGGCAGATTGACAGACTTTTGACTCCTTGGCAAATTACTGCCTGGTCTATTATAACGTTAACATGGTAAACTGTAGACAAAGAACATTGTAAACTCTTTGTAAACTAAAACTCCATATAATACCCAAAACTCGAAATGTGAGGGTCGCAACAACAGGCATCGCCGCACCAGTCATCTTTAAATTTGAACTTATTTCTGTACTTGGTGGCCAAGCTTCAGAGTTCCGTATTCGGCCTTCAGGTTTTTCAATCATCGCTTAATTTCCATCTAATTTAAATTAAACAGTGTTCTTTTATTGTTTTTTTCTATGGCTTTACATACCTGTTGTGACGTCGTGCCTGATCGGTCGCGGGATTGGTCCAGTGATGTTCACCACGGATATGATGGCGTTCTGTATGAACCCAGAGTCGTCGCTCACTATGCCCTTGATGCCGATGTGCGCCTTCCACAGGTAGCTCAGAAGAGCCTCGCGGTTCCTCTCCCATTCCTTAGCCAGCAAACTCTCAGGAGGATATTTCTCGCATCCGAGTTCAAGTGTCACTTCGAACGCATTCGTTGCCAAGTAGTTGAAATCTTGCATTCCTAAAATATAGTTTTCCTAAAATCAGAATTCTAAAAATACTTTTAAGCGTAAATGCGCACGCGATAGTAATTTAAGGGCACACAAGGCTACGTTGTAAAACAAGATCCTTTATAACGCAGCATTGGGAGTGACATTCGTAGAGCATGCATATCCAGTTAAAAATTCTCGATTTTTTCTGATTCACCGTATTCTGTAATATTTATAAAAAGTATAAAGTTTTACGGAGTTCTAATACCTTCTTACAGTATAATCGATTAATCTAAAAAGCAACAAAAATCAATTAGTTTTTGCCTGCATACTGTTTATTATGCTTAACAAAAGCTACTTCCATTTATAATGGTAAACCAGTTTACGTCTCATGGTCATCTAAAGTGATCTACCGTAAATGTCAACATGCAGACAAAAACAGGCAATTCGTTATGTTAAGCTTCCTGATCCTTAATACTAACTATTATTAATTTAAAATGAACCCTTAGTTCATTTCAAATTAATAATATTAAGGGCTTCCGTATTCAATAGCTGATGACGGACCTCCTTTGTTTATTGCTGGTCGCCCGTCTGGCAGCGGACCTTTTCTCATGAATCATAAATCTTTAGTCCAGTATAAAAATTAAAGGGAAATAAAACGAAGGTGTTTTTCATTGTTGAAACGATTACCAAAGGGAATGTTCGAAATTAACAACGCTGTTTATAAAAGAACTATCGTTTCTTTTATTTAAGCTGACTGAATATCTGGACAATTTCTATTTTAAATAAAATGATAAAAGGGCTTTTTTTGCTACGCGAATAACGACTGAGTAAAATAAAAAAGTATTTTTGGTCAATATTCTTTTTGTTTAAAATACTAAATAACTAAATACCCGGAGCGTAAAGTTATATAATTAATCCTACTTATATTTGATACGACAAAAACGCTTCAAACTCTGCATATAATTAATAAAAATATTCATTTTTTATAAAATCAAATAGCAATGAAAATATTATTCTTCTTAAATCTAAAGCTATAGCTCTAAATTGTTTTTAAAACTTTACTTCCCATCTATTGTTTCACGTTCAACTCCAAATCTTTTCCAGAAATTAATTTACACGTAGAAATCTTTACCTATTACAACTGTTATGGAGTTAAAATCTTCGATCAACAATTCTATAGATAACGGGTTGCATACAAAATCAAAGCTAAAAACTATCCGCGTAAGTTTAAACTTATGCAGATACATTCGATACCCATATGAACAAAGATGAATTTTTTGGGGTAATGTGAAATCACTGGGTATCACACAGATGCGATCAATTCAAGAACTGTCGAAGACCTAAAGTTTCAACAACGAGATAGAGGAACCATTCTGTCAAAAAGTGATGCAAATTGGACCTCTCGTATTCATGCTACCATACCAAGCCGAGGTGCTAATTTAAAATAGTTAGTATTCCATTCATTTTTTGATGTGTAACATCTTTCCTCTCGCTTTCCTGCAATTTGTGGGAGTGATTTCGTGAAATGAGGCGGAAGTGTGTAACAGGAAGTTGCGAAAGCGCGCGCTATTTGATTTTAGAACATAATGTTCAAATGGCTTATTCCTTTTGTAGTATGTTTAATTTCCTTTTTTACTAATATAAGGTGAAGTTTCAAATGTTACACATCATACGCGACTACTGTAAGGCTCGCTCGTTTTTTATTCGAATTCCCACCCGGTTCTTATTGGAAAACCCAATAATAAACTAGGAGTAAGATCTTTGAAGTCCAGTGTCAAATGTTCTGATACGTCCGTCCTTTAATTGTGTGGCTCAGACAGCAAAGTCACGAGTTGCTCTCCCAGAAAAATCGGTAAAGAACTTAAGCTCTGGATGAGGTGGGTTTGAAGGGATGTTGAGGATCGAGATTTCAGCTGATAGCTGAACAATTTCGTCGAGTCCCGTTGGATGCACTCTAAAAAACGATTGGTATCGGAGTATCCATTACAGCACTGTTGAGACACGTGTTAACCCGTTTGTAAATGGTCACCGTCGAAGACGCGTAATCAGTATGTATCTATCAACCCCATTGATGACAGCACCCTGCTTGCCGAAGTTGTAAGTAGAAGAGTCATACGCGCTGGTGGCGTGAAAGCCGCGCCGCTTGACCGACGCCATGTCAGCGTGGGCAGATGCATACAAGTAGTGTGCACAGCAACATGCTAAACTCACCTCCTTTCAAGCTGTACCAAGCTGCCCCATTGGTGACACCACCCTGCTTGCCGAAGTTGTAAGTGGCGGAGTCATCCGCGCTGGTGGCATGACAGCCGCGCCGATTGACCGACGCCATGTCAGCGTGGGCAGATGCGTATGCCAAAGCTAATTCCCTAAAATTGTTGAACATTTTTTTTTCATTTCACCTAACAAAACTCAGGCACAAAAGTTATTAGAATATCTTTGTTTGCGAGACATTAGTCAACACTACTATACAAATTACTTATTATCATAGTCACCATTATGTTTTATGCTAATGTTTTTAAAACAAATTTAAAAACTACTACCTAAAACTAAAACGCCTCATTCTACCTCTAATTAACTTTAGACACTTGACAAAAAATGGAATGGAACTAGCACTATAAAAAAAATATATGCCCGTAGTGTTTTTTTGCTTATAGTGTATTTTATTTACCTGAAGGTTTCGTCATCAGGGCTGGCAGAATATTCAGAAACTGGTGCACCACTTCTACTTTCGTCATACGGATAATTGGCTACAAGATCTCCTCCATGAATTGCCGCGCTCAGTACAAAAGGTATGGACATAATCCATCTCATCACAGCACGAGTTTCTGGTTCCAACTATACACAAGTACCAAAAATTAATAGACACTTTTAACGCTTTATATATACATTGCATTCGTACTAATAAAAAAGAATGTATTGTTTTCAGAGTTAATGTAAGTATGTATATGCTTTTCTCAATTCCACTAATGACATTTTAATCCTAAATACATTTAAGTATATGGTTAGAATCCTTAAATCGTTACGAAAGATTGCCACAAATGCCTTGCCTTGTTTGTATGGGCCACGCTCCATTTTGAACAGCGAGCGTAAAGCATCGAAGTTTTTAAATGTAACTTATGGAACATAACGAAGTATGAAAATTGAAACAAGCGCTTTAAGTGGCCAAGTCAGCTTGTTGGCGATGTTGATTAATTTAAAGCATAGTGCATAAACTCGTAGTAGGTATGTGAATTGTGAACTATGCTTCACTCTACCCATTGAATGCCTATAAGCCACCGAATGTGTCTAATTAGAATAATGAGTTTCCCATAAATATTTTCATCCCCTATGCAAAGTTTTCGCGATACAAAGAAACCGATTTCTTTCTCCAAAGACTCATATATATACCTATTTCCATACCAAAATACAAAAAAAAAATGCTGAAGCGGCTGACACGTGAAACGTGTAGTGCCTGTGCCCTCGGCTCGAAATCTACTAGACAAATGTAGTCACCCAGGCACTTCCTAGTATCTTATAAACTACTGAACCGATTTCAATGTATCTTAGACCCGTATTAATAGATCGCTTTCAACTCTGAGAGCGATTTTGAGTACGATCTTGAGATGATGTTTTTTATGAAAACTCAAGATCGGTCATAAAGTGGACAGCGATCTATTAATATGGACCTTAGACTGATCATTCTCAAAGGTTCTTAATCGAACAAAAAGGAATCAATATAAACCAATTTCTTTTTTTTTTTTCGAGATATAGGCGGAATAAGGTAGGTATCTACATGCCATTAGAAGGTAGGTACCTTGTATCTGTTTTATTATAACTTAGACTATTCCCTTAGTTACATGATAATTCAACAAAAAGAGTGCGATCCAATTCTTTTTCCGAAATGTAGGTGGACTAACTTCCATAAATGTATGCTAACGAAATATGACACAAGTGCTTTAAACTCAAGTAAACAGCTGACACACACGAACATTTTCTATTTCACATAAAGTTACAAACGTAAAAGGCAAATCAAACTTTTTTAAATTCGGTTAAAAATAATTCAACTGTTAAACACTAATCTTGCTCTCATTGATAAAAGTTTTTTATAACTCGCGCCAACAAAAGAAACGAATCGAAACAGACGATGCAAGACACTCTATCCCTCTCACATATCCTGACAGAAACATTGTTCTGTATATAAACAATTTACTAGAGAAATAAAAATTATTTTAAACAATGTTTAGCTAGCATTAAACAAGTCAAACATAGAATATTACTATGATTAAAAAAACTACGTGCAACATATTTTTATTGGTAGGTATTAGCATATTAGGTCAATGGGACTCACCGGTGCAGCCAGACGAGTCAAATCCTTTAATAAGTGGTTGTTGTGGTTAATGCCTTGCCTCTCAAACTCAAATGTAATAGAATCTAAATCAGGAAAATTTCTGTTCAAATCTATTGAATGATTGTTGTTACGTCCAATCAGGTAATCTTGTCCACCCTAAATGTGTAATGACATCGTATTTAATAAAACTAATAACAAAGTATACCAAATTATGGGGATATATTTAAATACAAACTGTATCTGTAGATAGTTGCCAGCCATCAGGATTCATTGAAGGTAACAAGTGAATACGAGTGCTATGAACGAGTGCTCTGATTCGACGATCTTGATTCAAATATTGGTCACAGAGGTAGTGCGCTAGACCTAGCAGCAACTCACGCCCCAGCACTTCATTTCCGTGAATGTTTCCAATATACTTAACTTCTGGTTTATCTAAAAGATAACATTTTTTTAATTAATCGTTCTTTGTAGGTAGACCAATAAAAAGATCTACTCACAAGGCTGGTGAAATCCTGGAGTGTCAGAAAACTCGATCACGTAAAGGGGAACGTTGCAAACAGATGGTTCAGTTAAAGCATACACTCTCGTAATATTGGGGCATTTCTCGTGAACTTCTTCCAAAACCAAAGGCAATTCTTCATTGTTGTGATGTTTCCAAACGAATTCGGCAGACGCAGAAAGACAAAACAGAAAAGCTAACACTACATATAAAGCCATTTTTGAACTCTCCTATGCTTTTGAACACTGTCTATAAAACTTCATGAAATGCTTTTAACACAACGAAACAAGCGTGGCTACGTCCGACCGACACAAAGTATCAAGTATCGATCGATTTTCCCGCGAACAAACGCCAACTCGCTCTCTCATACAACGCACGCTCAACCAATCAAATGCTGTGTTTTTCCCCTACCTACAACCCCAGACGTCATTCATGAACCCACACAGCGCGTAATAAAGTACAGTAAGCGCCAAAATCTAGATGAATAATTATTGATTATATTATTGTTATTTATCTATGATTGCAATTCGTAACTGACTCACTGTACCTGATCAGAACTTTTATTAACCATATTGTATTTATTGTGCAAAGAACATGAATGAAATCGCCATAAATAAAGAACTACTAAGTAATGACTTTTAGTGTATGATTAAAATAGGCTAACCATAAAATCATTAATTTTCGACTACCTTATTATATCGTCATCGAAGAAATATTATTGTATATCTGTGCAATTGTACATATAGATGTATTTAAAAGTCACTAATGACATTACTATATAATTAAATCAATAATATTGAATTTATCATTGGATTTGTGTACGTTAAGTGAATAGAAATATAGCTAAATTAACGTTAACCGCCGCACTGAACGAAGTTAATTAACTTCTCAGTTTAATGCTGTCACTTTCATTGCGAAACTTAAGAAACCAAAACTTATGGATCATCTAATTGATATGACGATTCTTAGTAGTGTTAGAGGCAAAATGACAATTCAAGGGCGTTTTACACGTAAAATATAATATAATTGTATAGTTTCTATCTAGGGATTGATGTCGATTGTTTGACTGATTTTTTATCTTAATAATGAATTCATCCAGGCTTATTCGATATTGAATAGATTCAAAATATATTTACTAGCCATCATAACCTTTAGTAATAAATAAAAATAATGCATAGGATTCTGTTAACGTCTGTACCGTTCATCTGACATTTACTTTTTAATATTCTTTCGCGAAGGCAAAGGAAAATTTTGCCGTGCAGTCAATAATTTGAAATACAGATAAAAATAACAAATTTGATTCAAAATGCTTGAAAGTTATGGGTACTATTTCGGTTAAACGCTTATTGGAGTGATTGAAAGAAAACAACATCTTATTATATTTTTATTTTAAGCATTTAACTGCTAGATAATTGTTAAGCATCTAACCGAATGAAAATTAGAATATTTTCTTGATGTTGTATAGACAATGGTACGGAACCTTTCGTGCGCGAGTTTTACACACACTTGACCGGTTTTTTTAATAGAAATAATTACAACTTGTTATTTGAATGGTTAGGTAAGGAAAAAGGTAACAAACATAAAAAAAAGTAATGTCATAATCCTTTTTTTGCAGTCGGTTGAAATTAGAAATCTGTTTTATAATTTTCCTTCACTTTTGTTAGCAAGTTTACTAAACCAAAATGTTATTACTGTTACACATGTGTATTTACAATTCAAGTTACTAATATTGCATGAAGAAAGCTTAAAAGATTAGAAACCGTTTTTGCCCATTTTGAAGATCACTCTTAATTTTCCGGTTCGACAAGGACTACACAAATTTTACACATTTATTTAGTCCCTGGTAAACTATGGTTTATCATTGACTCCATAAAAAGAAAAGAGGTGATTCTCAATTCCTTACAATCTTTCTTATATTTATATATATTCCACGATTACTTGAAAACCCCAGGACCGATCCGGAAAATTCTACTTATGTTGGAAGACTGTTATACTTTATACCAATAATTGAAACCTCGAATCACTATATCTCTACGTTATTCCTAATATTTGTAGCCCGAATGCATGCTATCTCTGAAAACTTTAAACTTATAACTTATAACTTATTATACTATAATAACTTTACACTGTATACCTAATATTTCGATGCCGAATGCACGCTATCCGTAATAACTTTAGAATTGGTATTATTCTTCTGACGCTTCGCCGGCCGTTGCCGCGGCACCTAACCTAACCTAGTTTGAAGTATCACCACAGTACAGTTTAGCTCGCCTCAAAGTTATTAGGGGCAGCGTGCATTCGGGATCGAAATATTAAGTAAACAATGTTAAAGGTCTAAAGTTATTAGGGATAGCGTGCATTCGGACTACAAATATTAGGAATAATATTCTTTAGAGATATATTGATTCGGGGTTTCAATTGGTATTAAGTTTAACAGTGATGTTGGAAATACTGGCCTTTTCCAGTGGTACCGTAGTAAATTCTGGTCAAGATCTCATGAGGGGATCCTAGCAAATTATTCTTAATTTCAAGTATTGTTATCTTAACTTAAACTATTAATAGGTATGTCAGAATAAAGTAAAGGATAATAATATGTTCTTTAAATTTTAGAGTCGATTTAAAAAAAAATACAAAATATAAAGAGTGCGAAAGATATGCAAGAGTCGTTTGAACTCATTTAATTGAAATATTGTATTTGCACAAAACAGTGTTAACAATAATATTACCTATAGTGTATACATTTAATGATTTGAAAATGGTTACTGTACCTAAGTACCTGGTCATAAATTTTTATTCTAATTTCCCTTACTCAGCGGTTTTCATTGTCCTTTTCATAAGCACTTCTACTAAAAAGAATACAACGGATAAAGTCACTCCAATGAAATACAATATGAAGATACCCTGAAAAAACAATAAGTAAGTATTGAATTATCAATCAATATACGTAGGTACTATATACTACACCTACTACTATAGTTAACATCTAAGATAGAGAAGAGAATATATCCAAGAATGCCCTAGAAGCTCTTACTAATCTATATCTCTGATATACTTTTATTTAAATCTCTGACTAAAGTTACTAAAAGAGATTACTGCATATTTTTTTTATTTTGCCTATGAAGAAATGCGACTGATCCTAATGTGAAAGTCAAATCAAATAAAAAAAAATCTGGGTAATTCAATTCCCAATCCAAGCAGAACTTAATATAAGTAACTTGATTTAGTTTCCGTATTAAAATACTTTCATGCCTAAACATTTATCATGAATCAATTCCCGTTCTGAAAACCGAATCAAACCCAAAACTATCAACATCAAGAGATAAGTATAATCTTAGACTTCTCTCGACTGTACTAAAACATTTTGGTATCGATAAAGGGAAGAAAAAATGTATTGTCAATCACACTCTCCAACCGATTTACAAGCAAAACCCGACAATGCATGTACTTCAGTGTTATATTTGTAACACATAATATATATCATGCCTTATCGTGCATGTATACCTTATTAAAGTAAAGGAATAAGTACCAAAACATGACGAAAATTAAGCGGCTCAACGTTAGTGACATCCTTCTTGGATCGGGACAGGCGAACTTCCAATTGCACTTCATAATTTAAATATTTTAACGCCACCTGAAAAGAATGCTCTTTAAAGTTTCTTAGCGTATGTTGTTATCCATATTGCATAATGCAGGGCTTTTGTTTTGTAATTTATAATTATTCTGTATTAAAAGCTAATAATCACAGAAATAAAAATAATAATAAAATTTCAATGAAGATCTTGATTTATTTCTGTGATAACTAAATGCTACAGACCAGAAATATAATATTTATATTACTTAAGGTAGATCATATAATAAGCGGAATTCTTCTTTTATTTGGCTGTAGTAAATTCATTTCTACCAAATCTTTGATTTTTGTTGAATTTTAGGTGAAACTCTTTTAAAATACAATTTTCATCTATGTAGTAGTTATATTTTACTAATTATAGCGATAAAATGAAACAATAAACTAGAAAGAAAAACCTGATTAAAAATACTTGCGAACCGCCAATATTCAAACTATTTTTTTTTTCAAAAAATTGCTTTACGTTTTAGTATACATGGGGGAGGGGGGGGGGGGCAGCATTAATACAGGTTCCCCTGTTTACGCATGCATTCCATTATGAAATTATTAAGTCACATATTTTTTCAAAATAGTACATATAAGTATAAATACATTTCGCGTGCGCTCAACATGTGTCCCAATCAAGATGTGCTTGAACACCATTCAAGCACTTCTTGCTTCACAGTCACGCGCGGACCATTGAAAAGTCAAAATGCCGCAGAGCTCCGTGAAAAAATGAGATAAAAATAGTTATAGTATGTAGAGTGACTTTTTTTCGACAGGTATCTAATCAATGTTTGTAAATTTAATGCATTTGAAGCAAAGTTTGTTATAATACTTACTATAAACTGATTAAATAGAAAAGATTTGTGATTTGCAAATGCATGGTCGGTAATGTAGCCGTCTCTTTTCTTCGCGATCCGTACCTGCTATATTGCTAACAGCGCATTCACAATTGCGCGTAGAGCCAAAGAAATAAGGTCTATATTCTTCTGCATATAGTATAAGTCGTAAATTTTACGAGGTTGCATTTCGAACTGCCATAATGCTTTGATGCATTGCGTTTTAAGTAAGACCTTATACAGTATGAGTTAAAGGTCACTTTCAAAGTTTAAATAATGGCTTATATTGTTTTTGACTACGCGATCATCTTACGGAGCTCCGTGGATCGTCCAATGTACTTTTTGGACAGGTTTCGGCCACGATTTTATTCGTGTTGTTGTGGTATTTAATATCGTTAGCTACAAATTATATACCCTTTTTAATATATTTACTTATTAAGCTGACAAATGGAAAGGTAATTCCCAATATAGGTACTAGAATAAAGTTTTCTGTTCATGCACCTGTGTCTCCCATGCTAGCATGAGTCCGGATTCGTGTAAGCGTCCGATAAATTGACTTATTTTCTTTGTGTACGGTGAACTCTTGCGTAAAGTCACCACGCATAACTCGTAGTAGAAATCCTCTTGCATAACGGTTAAATCTAGCATTGCTTCTTTGGTTATGTAGTCCCCGATGGCAAAATAACCTATCCACACAAATATCATGACATGTGTTGAACAAATTCTTGGTAAATTGTTATCAGTTGGAAACATTTTGGAAATGATGACGATTAAGATGATCCAACGTTGTTTTATATTTTTTTTCAAAATGTAATAATACAAGTAGTGGCGGACTAACAGGGGGGCGGAAGGGGCG